CGAAAATCGTGGCTCAATCTTAGAAACCTTAGCTTGAAACCGTGGCTCATCTCTTGTTTTTACTTCTTGTAGGATTTGAACTCTCTCTATTTTCTTTGCTTATTTGAATAACATCAGTTCACCCATTAAAACCTTAGCTCATTTGAGATTAAATTGATCTCAGTAAGATTAGAACTAAGCATCAAGGACCGTGGCTCATTTCTTTGTAATTCGATAAAAACTGTAGCTCATCCTCCTCCTTATAAAAACCGTGGCTCATTCATTAATTTTGTTTATTTTGGGACTGTGACTCTATTACTATGTAATATCCGCTCATAACTACTTTCTCAATCTATTAAAATACAAAGAGTCAATATCACCTTCACTGAGTCTTGAACCCACAATCTTTGATATAAGAGTCCAATCTTGGTGCCATTAGACTACAAGGTATTGGCTGATTTTCCTTGAGTTAAGAATTCTTGGATTGTTCTTCTTTGGCTCTTCACGAAATAAAATTATACAGAAAAATAACAAAGAATAGGGGTCTAAATTTTTCACCCTAAAATACTGTTTGAATCATCAAAATCTAATTACAATTTATTCCTAACAATTTTTATCATCGAAAAATACCTTTTTACTCAAATAAGGTTTCATCGGAAGTACCAAAAGTGTCCAAAATACGATAGTTTGGGATGTTAAATGACAAAAAATGATTGTTTGGGACTAAATTTAAAACTACGACAAAAGAGAAGAGACCTCCATTGGAATTAACTCATTTGAAAAAAAAATTAAAATTTCTTTGAAGAGACGAAATTACCCTTACCTAAAATAGGGTTTCACTGGAAAAGTCATCGTAAAACTAAAAATGTCCAAAATATGATAATCTGGGATGTTAAATGACAAAAAAATAGTTTGGGACTAAATTTGGAATTGTCGCCAAAGACAAGGGACCTCCACTAGAATTAATTCTATAAAGTAATAAGTAGTAATATAGAATAAGTTTGTTAACTTTTTTTTTTCTTCATCCCATATTTGTTATGAAACCAATCCCCACCACAAATAATAGTTTTAATAGATTGGGCATTTAATCTAGCATGATATTCATCAATCATCCTTCCCCCAACACAAATGTCGATTCAAATGCAACACTTGAAATAGGAACAACTAATATATCAGTAGGCATCTTTGATAAAACTTTAAACTTTACACTATTACGTTTCTACCACTCCAATGCATAAAAAGATGAAGAAGAGTGAATTAAAGGATCACCCACAGGATAAGTCTCCAACTCTGATTTTGTAAAAGAATTGATTTGCTTTGAAGAACCATATTCAATATCTTTTGCATCCGTTTATCCTTTAAATCTGTTGTACAACATCAACCACGGTGGTGTTATCAACATCCAATTCACCACTATGTCCACCGATAGAGGAACACATCGTGACTATACAAGTTCACATACTCTAGATATAATTCTTCTAATGTCCTTTTCACCTTTTCCCACATTTTGTTCATCATCACTCTGTGTTTTATACAATAAGCACTACTACAAAATTGGACATATAAATATGACTTTCCGCCACACCTCTTGAATAAAGGTGTAGTGGATAGTTGAAAAATAAATGCGGTGAAAATACCGTAAATAAATACATAAGAATACACTATATCTTTGTTTAAAAGGTGTAGTGGATTCTCAGAAAAAAAATGTCAACTTTTCATGAAACCTGCCAGGTGGAGGTGTAGCGGAAAGTCAATATTTTTTTAAAAAAAAATATTTTCCGCAACACGTGCCACATGGAGGTGTAGCGGAAAGTCAATAAATTAAAATAATAATAATAATAATAATGGAGATGTCTCTTCCCCATAAATTTTCATTAAAAATATATATTATACATTACAATATTATAATGTATATTAGGCTCAAGTTCCAAATTTCACCATGAACCAATTGTGATTTGCCATGCCGCATCCTGGCCTTACACAAGTGATGATTCGATTCACAAATCAAAAAATTTTGTCCGCCTAGGTTTTTTTACAGGTAACCTTCAAGTTATAGGTAATAAGTTGGTGATATGGAGGTGATTTGGCAGAGACGTGTGTTGTTTTGTTGATGTGGCAACAATTTGAGTAGATGTGACAGCCATTTCAGCAGTTTAATCTATTATAGGCAAAATTGTACTTTCAATTTCAATCCCAATTCCAATTCGATTAGACGAGTGAAGAATCCCATACCCTAATCTCAATCCCAAATCCCTAATCGTGAAGCGAAATCCATAATCTCAAACACAAATCAATCATCGCGTCGCTTAATCCCTAATCTCTATTCGTAATTCGAAATCTAAATCCTTAAACGCGAAGATAATCTCAAATCCCCACTATCAACGAAGGAAAACCGAGTGGAAGAAGACTGGAAAGAAGATTGGAAATAAGGCTGGAATAATACTGGAAAGTGGACGAGTAAGGTATGTATAACAATATTGGAATATCATTGTGAATATATACTTTGAATATGATGCTGGTGATCTTAATGCTTTAACTTTTGGTTTTATTTATATTGATTGTGATGTAGTGGGGTCTTGCTACACTGTCTTTAAGTTGAATATGTTTGTATATATTGTGGTCCTGCTCCAGTTAATATGATTTTGTGGTCCTTCTACTCCAGTTGGTAAAGTGTGTATAAAGTGATAAAGTATGTTGTTGCTTTCATGTTTAAATGTGCATTGCATTTTTTTCAGGATGAATGAAAGTATGGAATTAATAATTCTTCATGGTGGTAATTTCGTCAAATCCCCTAGGTTAAAATATTAGAATGGTGAGACAGATGTAATGGTTGTGGACCCTGACTTAATATGTTATCCCCACTTAATGAAGTATATAGCAGCCCAAAGATATGAGAAAATAGTCTCACTTACTTATAAGTTGACCTTTGAACCCTTTACATCTTTAAAACTCTTACATAATGATGCTAGTAGTCTACACTTAGCTCAGATTGCTTGTGAAAATAAAGTGTGAGTTATATGTTGAGCATGGGGTAGATGAGCCTGGGGTGGTTGGTTTATGTTTACCTAGGCCTGAGGATGATGGGAATGAAGCTGGATTAGTGGGTGAGGAAGGGGGCCATAAGCTGATATAGTGGGTGAGAGATTGGGCACAGAAGATGAAGTACTGGGTGAGGAAGTGGGAGAAGAAGATGAATTACTAGGTGAGGAAGGGGAGTAGTGAAGTAGATGCTGATTTTGGTGTTGTGAGTGACTATTACAGTGGCAGTGACCATATAAGTAGCGGTAGTGACCATATTAGTAGTGGCAGTGAGGGTGAGCATACTAGAAATATGGATAAGAGGAAAAGGAAAATAGGAGTAGAAGCTGAACCTATACCATAATATGTGCCGACATATGAAAATCCTTTAGTAGATGAGGCAGATTCTGTGTACTATGATTCACAAGATCCACCAACTATTGAAGAAGACTTGGAGAATGAGGATGGGAATGAGGTTCAATCAAGGTATAATGATAAGTACCCTAAATACAACCCTAAATCTGATCCACTCTTTCTTGAATTAGGTATGTATTTTGATGATAATGTGCAGTTCAAACTTGCCATGATAAGTTATTCAAACTTGCCATGATAAGGTTGATTTTGATATCCTCAAATGGTGGAAGGTGAACTCTGAAAGACTGCCAATTCTCTCTAAAATGGCAAGGGATATTCTTGCAGTTTCAATATCCACTGTGGCTTCTGAAAGTGCTTTTTCAACCAGTGGTAGAGTGTTGGATCCATTTAGGAGTTCCTTAACTCCTAAGATTGTGGAAGCTTTAATTTGTACACAGGATTGGTTGAGATTACCAAATCAACCTATTCAAATTGAAGAAAATATTGATGATTGTGAAAGGCTTGAGAAAGGTAATAGTAGTTTACTTAAATACTTTCATTATTGTGTATTTATTTCATTATTTGTATGATAGTTAATGTGTTTTTTTTTTTTTTTTTTTTTTTTTTTTTTTTTTTTTTTTTTGCAGAGTTGCCAACTGGAATTAGGACTGCTGGAACTTCCCTACCAACCATTGTAGTAATGTTCATTCATTCTGCTCTCAGCTTTATATTTAGTTGTTATTCACTTATTCTGTTCTCTTAGAAAATTAGATTACCATTCTGTTTTTATTTATGGCTTATGAATTCAATTATGTAATTGCATTTTAGACTTTTAGTGCCTCAGCCCCTATCCACAGTTCCACTTGATTGAACATTTGAACAGCAGGTTACAGGTATGTGTAGTATGGGCTATGATGATGCTTCCACCTTTGTCTGAATCAAAGGACTTGGGGTTGGTATGTTGCTCAAGTTTTGGATTTAGTTCCAAAACTTTAGAAGCAATTTCCCTCAAATCTTAATGATATGAAACAACAGCAATCTGAGCCTATTTTGGATATTTTAGCAAATAATATTAAACTGTTATTCTTTTCATTTTTTTTTTTTGTTTTTGTTATTTGCTATTTAAATTTGCAACTTAAGCAGGAAGATGAGGAATGCTGATGCTGCCTGACTGCCTGAGTTGCTGGTTGGAGTGATTGCTGTTGGATGTTGCTGCTTTTGGTTTTTGAATGGTGCCTTAACACTTAACAACTTTATTTTTGAGAAATTGAATCTATAAACTCTTTTTGAATTGTAACTTGTAAGTAGTAAGCTGTAAAGTTGTTAGCTTCGTTAACTTGTAACAAGTTACTTTGTACTTGTGATTTGTGAACTTGTAATTTTGAAGTTGTAACTTGTTAACTACTTAGAAGTTCACAAGTTACAACTTATTTAGTGTTGATTTACTCATTCAGTAGTTAATTAGTTGTTTTTTTTAATTTTTATTTCATATCCGATTTATCCGTAATCCGAGGCAACCCGTCCGATATCCGATATTTACATATCCGAAAAGTTTAGACTTAGAAATTACACGGATAGGATTCAATAGTGGTAATCCGAGAACCGAACGGATCCCCATTCCTGCAACCCGAACCCGCCCGACTCGCCCGATGCACACCCCTAGCAGTGACCATATAAGTAGCGGCAGTGACCATATTAGTAGTGGCAGTGAGGGTGAGCATACTAGAAATATGGATAAAAGGAAAAGGAAAATAGGAGTAGAAGCTGAACCTATACCATAATATGTGCCGACATATGAAAATCCTTTAGTAGATGAGGCAGATTCTGTGTACTATGATTCACAAGATCCACCAACTATTGAAAAAGACTTGGAGAATGAGGATGGGAATGAGGTTCAATCAAGGTACAATGATAAGTACCCTAAATACAACCCTAAATCTGATCCACTCTTTCTTGAATTAGGCATGTATTTTGATGATAATGTGCAGTTCAAACTTGCCATGATAAGTTATGCTGTACACACCAAGAGGGATTTATTTTGGAAGAAGAATTGTTTAAAGTATGTTAGGGTTGAATGTCTTGGAAAGAGGTGTGAATTTCATGTGAGTGCAGGGTGGGAGGAAAGAATAAAGTGTTTTCAATTGAAAGTAATTATGTTGGATCATAAATGCAACACTCAATTCACCTTAGGCATTGTTAGTAAAAAATGGTTAGAATGGAAATATGAAGGCAATGTTAGGCAGAATCCAACTATTGGGTATTCAGAGTTGAGCAAAGATATAAAGTATGAGTTGAACCTCAATGTCACTGTCAGTATGTGTCGAAGGGAAATTATTGGGATTCTGAAGAAGCTTGACATAGCGTATGAGAGTCAATTCAAAAGGCTTAGGGATTATGCCCAAGAATGCTTGAATTCTAACCCAGGCTTTACTGTGAAGATTAAAACAACCAGAACTGTTCCTACTTCACCCTTGGTATTTGAGAGGATATATGTGTGTTTTAATGCCATGAAGAAGGGTTTTCTATGGGGTTGTATGAGGTTTATTCGACTAGATGACTGCTTTCTGAAAGGCAAATTGAAGGGTGAGATCCTCTCAGCTGTGTGTAGAGATGGGAACAATCAAATGTACCTAATTGCTTGGGTTGTGGTAGAGATTGAGAATAGCTCATCATGGAGGTGGTTTCTAGAGCTTTTGAAGGTTGACTTGGAGATTGTGGACAACACTCAATGGACTTTATTGAGTGATCAGCAGAAGGTAAATCCACTTCAATCCTAAACTTCTATAAATCTGTTACTGAGCTGGTTTCTGTAATTGCATTCAATCTGTTACTGGTTTTTGTAATTGCATCCAAAACAATCTCAACAACTCACAAACAAATACTAAATCACTTCTAAGCATAAACACATCAAAAACTCATAGTTTCTACTCATTTCTACTCAATGCGAAGGCTTCACAGAGCCAAATTTTAAAGAGGAATCCATGGGGTTATACCTCTTGTAGCTTCTCCTTCCTGCTTGGATCTCAGCCCCCTCTCCACTCAACTTCCACTACTTCTTTACCACCTAAACACCCCAAACATCAACAACAAACTAAGCCTAAGAGAACTCAAAGGATTAAGGCAAAGAAATCATCAAAACAAAGGGAGTAGATGAATGGTGGAGAATAGAACTTACTGTGTGTTTTTCTTCTTTCTAGTAGACAAGGTTAGGAGAGGCAATGGAATGAGATCAGGGATTAATGAGAATGAAGGTGTGGTTTTATAGGGTGCAAAACCCTTGGAGATTCTCCCATGATTGGTGGAGGGCAAAATGGTAGTTTGGTTGATTTTCTAAAAGCATCAGACAAGTTAGGCTAAGAGGTTTGTGGTTCACCAAGCAACATGAACCATAGACTAAAAAAATGCTATTTTAAGTACTTTGGGGTTGAAAATGAATTTTCTCAAAAAGCTATTTAGATGAACCCTTGTTTAAAATCTTTTGGGCATTCCCGGTCTCACTTAGATAAATTTCCCGATTAAAATCTTGGTACACGAAGTACCCAAAAATTAGGAATTTCTGAAATAGAATTAATTTTGGTGTCGAATTAATTTAAAATGTGACGAAAATATTTTATTCAACCCCGATTGATCGCAAAAATTTTTAATGGGATGAAGAAGGCTGTTTTGGGATTTCTTAATACCGGATTTATAAAATGAAATCTTGGGTTGTTACACTCTATCCCCCTTAAAAGAAGTTTCGTCCCGAAACTTAAAAGAAACGGGTAGATCAAGTTCTCGAAAAGAAAAGGTGATGAAACCAAAAGGTTGGAATTTTCTGTTGGAACACTTTGGAAAGATTTAGGAATCTCTGAGTTCTTATCTAACTTATCTAACATCTAAACAACTTCATCAACGAATCTATGACTGAAGTTAAAAGCTTGACTAGTTACCTTGATCAAAGAGGGCTAGATAACGACTCATCATCTCCTCCTCGGTCTCCCAAGTGGCCTCCTTAGACAACTGGTTAGACCACAAGACTTTGACTAGCTTCACTTTCTTTCTTCTCATATCCCTGGTCTTGTGATCGAGGATCCTAATTGGGTTTTCCTCGTGCATGAGGGACTCATCAAGCTCTACTTCCTCTGGTTGGATTACATGGGAAATGTCCGGGATATACTTCTTTAACTGCGAAACATAGAACACATCGTGTACCTACACTTGGTCCCAAAACACATCTAAGAACAATACCCTATATTCGAATCTAACTCAAGGTATAACATTGTACCTTTTCCAACTCCATGGGTAGGGCTAAACGATAAGCTACCATCCCAATCCTCTCGACTATGTCGTATGGTCCTATGAATCGAGGGCTTAGCTTTCCTTTTCTTCCAAATCTCATTACTCCCTTAGTGGGAGACACCTTTAGTAACACCTGCAATTTACTTTAAATTTTAAATTTCCAATACTTAGCACAAAATCAACTGTTGATTCACAAATTCGAGGTTACCTTATCGCCCACTTGGAACTCAGTTGGCCTCCTCCCTTGATCGGCATACAACTTCTGTCTATCTTGGGCCGCTTTTAATCTTTCTCGTACCAACTTGACTTTCTCTCCAGTTTCCTGTATGTACTGGGGTCCAAGCACCACTCCTTCGACTGCGTCTTTCCAACACAAGGGACTCCTACACCTCTGTCCATATAAAGCTTCATATGGTGCCATTTTGATGCTTGAATGATAACTGTTGTTATAGGAGAGCTCGATTAAGTCCAAGTGCTCGTCCCATGAACCATGAAAATCTATCATGCAGGCTCTAAGCATGTCCTCCAGAGTCTGTATAGTCCTCTCAGTCTGTCCGTCGGTCTCGAGATGGAAAGTCGTACTCAACTTAAGCTTAGTACCCAAAGTAGCTTACAAGGTCCTCCAAAACTGGGATAAGAAACGGGAATCCCTGTCAGATACTATGTCTCGAGGTATCCCATGGTATTTAACCACTTTCTCAATGTATGCTCTGGCCAATTGTTCCATCGTCCATGTCTCTCTCATGGGTATAAATCAAGCTGTTTTGGTTTGTCGATCAACAATTACCCATATCTTATCCTTTCCAGTCTTTGTCAAAGGTACACCCCCCACGAAGTCCATGGAGATTGAGTCCCACTTCTTTTCTGGTATATCAACGGATTGCACTAAACCTTTAGGTCTATTCCGTTCGGCTTTAACTTTATGACAATTTAAACATCGCTGCACAAACTCGGCTATCTCTCTCTTTATCTTTGGCCACCAGAAATGCATCTTAAGATCTCCATACAGCTTATCCCCATCGGGGTGTACTGAGTAGGGTGTACAATGCCCCTCTTCCATGATTTGCTTCTTAATCTCTTCGCATTTCATAGGTATACACCAACGTCCTTGTGCCTAATGCTCCCATCTAGATATATTTCGAAAGGTCCACATTTCCCATCAACCATCTTGGCCTTAATTCTTTCTAACTTGACATCCCCGGTTTGATTTTCCTTTATCTCATCAAAGATGCTCGGTGTCACCCTCAAAGTATACAATGCCATTTCTTGTTTAACTTCACCACTATTTCTTATCTCCAAATTTAACCGCTGAAACTCTCTACATAACTCATTTGGCACAACCCAAATACCTCCCAAGGAGTGACTAGACTTCCTACTCAAAGCATCGGCTATTACATTTACTTTCCCCTCATGATACTGGATCTCTAAGTCGTAGTCCTTAATCAACTCTAGCCACCGTCGTAGTCTCATGTTCAACTCTTTCTGGGTGAAGATATACTTTAAGATTTTGTGATCGGTGTAAATCTTGCATCTCACTCCATATAAATAATGTCTCCAAATCTTTAGGGCGAAAACCACTGCGGCTAGTTCCAAGTCGTGCGTAGGGTAGTTAACCTCATGCGTCTTCAACTGACGTGACGCATACGCTATCACCTTCCCATTTTGCATCAAAACACAACCAAGTCCCTTATGTGATGCGTCGCTGAACACCTCGAATCCTTCCTCACATGATGGCAATGTCAAAACCGGTGCCGAGGTCAATCTCCGCTTAAGTTCCTGAAATGCCATCTCACACTCCTCGGTCCATTGATACTTGGCTACTTTCTTAGTGAGACTAGTAAGAGGTTTAGCTAAAATCGAGAAATCGTGCAAAAATCTTATATAATAACCTGCTAAACCCAAGAAACTACGCACCTCCGTGACAGACTTGGGTACCGGCTACTCCGTGACCACCTTAATCTTGGATGGATCTACTGTTACCCCAGCTTTGGTGACAATATGTCCCAAGAAAGCTACGGTGTCCCTCCAAAACTCACACTTTGACAACTTAGCGTACAACTGATGGTCCCGCAATAACTGTAGTACAATCCTCAAATGCCTCTCATGGTCGTCCATCCCTTTTGAGTAAATCAAGATGTCATCGATGAAGACTACCACAAACTCATCCAAATACGGTCGGAATACTCTATTCATCAAGTCCATGAAGATTGCTAGCGCATTGGTCAATCCAAATGGCATTATAGGGAACTCATAGTGTCCGTATCTCGTACTGAAAGCTGTCTTCTGTATGTCCTTGTCCGCCACTCTCAACTGATGGTACCCAGACCGTAAGTCTATCTTGGAGAAGACTCCCGCTCCCTTCAATTGATCAAAAAAAACATCAATCCGCGGTAAAGGATATCTATTCTTCACAGTGACCTGGTTCAGTTCCTGGTAGTCTATACATAATCGCATACTCCCATCTTTCTTTTTCAAAAATGGAACAGGCGCTCTCTAAGGCGATACGCTCGGTCTGATGTAACCCTTCTCTAGCAGTTCCTGTAGCTGTCCCTTGAGCTCAGCCATTTCTGCGGGTGCCATACGGTAAGGAACTTTGGATATGGGTGCGGTGCCTGGCTGCAAGTCAACTGAGAACTCCACTTCCCTTACTGGAGGTAATCCTGGTATTTCATCGGGAAATATATCTGGGAATTCCCTTACTACAGCAATCTTTTCTAAGCTCTCGTCTTTTGCATCCAAGTCCTGGAGAGTACATAAATAAACCTCATGCCCTTTACTCATGTACTTCCTCATCTTAGCCATGGATACCACTCGCATGCCTGGTGGTTCCGGATTACCTTTGTATGATACGTACTTTCCTTTTGGTCCTCTCATTGTTACCTTCCGTTCCTCACATAGGATCTTGGCTTTGTACTTGCCCAGCCAGTCCATTCCTAAGATTACATCCATACCCTCCAGTTCTATCTTAATGAAGTCCCCGGGAAAGGTTACCCCCGATATCTCCACGGGCAAGCCTTCCAGGATGTCTTTGTAATCAATCAATCTTCCTGAGGCTAGCTGGATACTCATCTTCCTTTGACTTGTAGGCAGCCATCCAAACTCATCCACCATTGCCGAGGATATGAAAGAGTTGGTAGCTCCAGAATCGAAAAGCACCACTGCAGGTACGTGATTCACCAGAAACGTCCCCGTGACTAGCTCCACTGGTACGACGGGATCCAAACGAGTGGTGAGCACTCTCCCTTGTGCCCCTTCTTCTACAGTCACTTCATAGAGTGGCTGGTTGCGTTGACTCTTGGCAATTTCTTTCTTTCTCCCCGATCGGTTCTTTCTCTTCTTAACCCTCCCTTGAATTGACAAGCCAAGGGTGCACTTGCTACTAGGTGGTGACTTGTCTCCATAGGGCCGTCTCGGTGGCATTTCACCACCTTCAACGTGAAAGAGAGAAAACAAGGTTAGAGCTCCTAAGAGTTAACTGTCTCTAGCTTTCCTATCTCTAAGGCAAAGCTCACAATACTAAAGCACAAAAGCAAGCAAAGGCATCTTTTCTCATCAACTTTAACAACTTATCAAGAACACCTTCTCTTCTAAGCTTAAACTTTCAAGCTCTTGGTTTTTCTCTTTCAACTTCTCTCTTTACTTCTCTACTTTACTCAAAACAGATAACAAGGCATAACAAGCACATTGATAAATCACATAAGCAAGGCACAAGTATAAACTCTTATACTTTTACTTTAGCACTTTTACAAAGCTTCTACTTTCAAACTTTAACTTTCAAATATCTCAACTATTAACTTTCATTTTAACTTTTCACTGAAAACTTCTCTGCTTCACTTTCCAAAGATGTATAAAAGCACTTTAAACACATTGATAAAGCACAAAACATATAAGCAAACACAAAGGAACTCACGACCTCACCGCGTTCCTAACTAATGCTTAAAGTTTCTCTTAACTCTAATTCTCATACTTAGTCACTGGACTTAGAGACATTCTCATCTAAAGTTCATAACTTAGGGCTCCTTCTTATCTCAAATTTCATAACTTAGGGTTCTTTCCAATTCTTATCCTTCCTAGGATTTCCACTTAAAGTTCCCTTCTTATCTTGTCTTTCTTAAGACTTCAACTTAAAGGTCTTTCCTTAACTCGTCCTTCCTAGGACTTTTACTTAGAGTTTCTATACTCAATCTTAAGGGTCAAACTTCCTAAGTCTCCCGTGGTTCGCACCACTCTGATACCAATTTGTAACACCCCACTTTTCTAACTCTTAATTATAACTCTAAACAGTCATTAACATCACTAAGCAGTGGAAATAACTAATAAATAAATAGTGGGAGTGTCACCGCCACAACCACCACTCCGTGGTGATTGCACAGGCTAAGGGGTAAAACTAGGAATAAAGTAAAAGTCTAGCATCCATCATAACAACTGAAACATAAGGAGAAAATACATCACCCCAAAAGTCTACATCATCCTCAAACCATAAAGTCAAAAGGTCTAAAATCCATAATCGTAAACATCAAAACATAATCATCGAAATAATCAAAACATAATCATCGAAATAACTAGAGTTTTGATATCTCTATCTACGAGACTAATCTAACTCGACTTCTTCACACTGCTGGGTCCACCTGAAAGGGGTTTTGCAAGCAACACATAGACAAATAGGAAAACACCCGTTAGCACGAAGCTAAGTATAACAAGACTCAACCCTGTAAAGTACTATAGAGTATACTTAACATTTGATGTCTTTATCAATATAAACTCAACTCAAATCATCTTTAAATCTATCACATACTTTCTAGATGCTTGCACCTTATTATAACAACTGGCATGCTCATATATACATAAGATGGTACACTTGGATTCATCAACATATAATTCCTTAAATAACTTCTCAAATAATTCATAGTTTCAGATAGGATCATGCTAATAAATCATATAACAGGTATTCTCATGCTTTCACATTCTCATCACATAGATAATTAGAGCTTTTAGTACAACAAGATAATCATGCTCGAAGGAACATGTTAAGTCAAACCTTTCATTATAAAATCTCATACAATACTCTATTCACATGCAATCTCGTATAATACTATGCATCACTCTCATATACAATCTCGTGCAACAATATAATCATACTCATATGCAATCTAGTGCAATAATAAACTCATACTCATATGCAATCTTATGCAACAATATAATAATACTCTTATGCAATCTAGTGCAATAATATACTCATACTTATATGCAATCTCGTGCAACAATATAATCATACTCTTATGCAATATAGTGCAATAATAAACTCATACTCATATGCAATATAATGCAACAATATAATCATACTCTTATGCAATCTTGTGCAATAATATAATATATATACTCATGTACACTCGTTGTAAAAATAGAGTACTTTCTGTGGAGGTCTATTGAGTCTATCTCGACTCGCTTTCTTTCTCTTGAGTCTCTCTTGACTTGCTTTCTTTCTCTTGAGTCTCTCTTGACTCGCTTTCTTTCTCTTGAGTCTCTCTTGACTCGCTTTCTTTCTCTTGAGTCTCTATTGACTCGATTTCTTTCTCTTTTCGCTCGTAGACGGCTCAGGATTTCACCGTAGCGTGAATTGCCCCATTAGGAACGGCGTAAGTCTGACCAAATATCTCCTACCGTCAATGTAACCAATCTCGTGGTTCACGCGCTGTGGAATCAGGTATCGAACTTTCAGTGTGCACACCCCCTACCAGGATTCCAAGCCTGATGGGTAGTTTCCAACCTTGTAACGTGCGAATACGCCGCGTTACATGTACTAGGACCACAATGTCCATAACAATCATCCGAGAGGACATAGTCCAAACGGGTCCTCCAAAACCTCAGCGATTTGGATAATACATACATACATACATATATACATATATACATACATACATACATACACACACACACACACACACAGATATATATATATATATATATATATATATATATATATATATATATATATATATATATCATGCATCACTCTTATGCATGCAATAACTTTACCACTTCTCAAATGCATCAAAGAATGCTATACACATGCTCATGTTCTTTGAAAATAATACTCGGGCTCACGTTGGCCCCTTTTGCATTTTTTTTGAAATTTTACATATGTCAAATAATGCAATTTAATCATGCTATAAAAGTGAATCACATTCTCAAATGATCATGCTTCTATACTTAATAAAATCATCAAACAGATCACAAAGATAACAATTCCTCATATACAGTGCATAGCAAAATATATACTCTGTGTAGTATTTCATCCCAATTTCCTTCATAACATACTCATTTTAGATCCAAATTCAAACAAATCAAAGCCAAAATGTGCGTCAAGACGGTCCCGAAGAGCCGAGCCACAAGGGCCCGTAACACTCATCCCGAAACGACACGCAGCTGAGCCACAAGGGCCCGGCCACTGCATAAATTCTTCTCAAAATCAAAGTCAGGGACCTGGGGCGGGACTCCTCATGGTCCGCCCCTTGTATCATGTCACTTCACCGGGGCTAGGCGGCGGCCCTCCCCTAAGGCCGTGCCCTAGTCCCGTTCATGCACGGCTCTAGCCGGCGGCCCTCGTGATGGGCCGTGGCTAGGGCTGTGACTCTGATCTGGTGCACACTGTGTTGTGCACCAGAAGGTTTTTCATCTGCAAAATCCAATCCAAACAAGTCCAAAACAATCTCAACAACTCACAAACAAATACTAAATCACTTCTAAGCTTAAACACATCAAAAACTCATAGTTTCTACTCATTTCTACTCAATGCGAAGGCTTCACAGAGCCAAATTTTAAAGAGGAATCCATGGGGTTATACCTCTTGTAGCTTCTCTTTCCTGTTTGGATCTCAGCCCCCTCTCCACTCAACTTCCACCACTTCTTTACCACCTAAACACCCCAAACATCAACAACAAACTAAGCCTAATAGAACTCAAAGGATTAATGCAAAGAAATCATCAAAACAAAGGGAGTACATGAATGGTGGAGAATAGAACTTACTGTGTGTCTTTCTTCTTTCTAGCAGACAAGGTTGGGAGAGGCAAGGGAATGAGATCAAGGATTAATGAGAATGAAGGTGTGGTTTTATAGGGTGCAAAATCCTAGGAGATTCTCCCATGATTGGTGGAGGGCAAAATGGTAGTTTGGTTGATTTTCTAAATGCATCAGACAAGCTAGGCTAAGAGGTTTGTGGTTCACCAAGCAACATGAACCATAGACTAAAAATGCTATTTTAAGTACTTTGGGGTTGAAAATGAATTTTCTCAAAAAGCTATTTAGATGAACCCTTGTTTAAAATCTTTTGGGCATTCCCGGTCTCACTCAGATAAATTTCCCGATTAAAATCTTGGTACGCGAAGTACCCGAAAATTTAGGAATTTCCGAAATAGAATTAATTTTGGTGTCGAATTAATTTAAAATGTGATGAAAATATTTTATTCAACACCGATTGATCGCACAAATTTTTAATGGGATGAAGAAAGCTGTTTTGGGATTTCATAATACGGGATTTATAAAATGAAATTTCGGATTGTTACAAATTGCCTCGCCAAACTTCCAATGATCTTCTCAACCCTTAGATGATTAAACAAGGCTAAGAACTAGACTTAGGAATCTAGAACTTGAGATAAAAAAAAAACTTAGCTATGCAAGATCTATAGTAGTTTTATTTGTTTTGGGATTTTCGGGTATGTGTATGAATGTAAAGAATAAGATAGTGGGATATGCCTTCTCGGCTTGTAAACTAGCTTCTCACAGCTTTACTTAGATTGAATGCTTCTCACAAACAACCTAAACATTCAATGCAATTCTCATGCAAAGAAAAAGAGAGAACTTCTCATTTCATTTCCAATATTACAAGCTGATTTGAACCATTGGGTGATGGGGTTTTTATAGGGAAAAATCAGGGATTAAATGTATAAAATATTTTAGGTTTCATCCCTTAACTATGAAGGAAATAATTAAAAATTATAAGTTGCAAAATAAACCTCCCCTCCCCATATTTGCGTACGAAATCTGATTGTTGTAAGCTGAATTTTCTTCCAAAACTGTGCTGTCTTTCACATGAGTTTGTCATAAGCATTTAGTGCTTTGTTTCCTTGAGTAAGCTGATTGCTTGAGGTGCTTGCTTGAGCTACTTGGTTGATGACAAGCAAGGAGGTGAGTGAACAGCTAAGTTGTAACACCCCTAAATTTTAAGATATTTAAAACCTACAAAATAAAGGATAATCTATTATTATTTCCCAAACAGAGCATAAGCTAAACATAATAGTTGGGGTGTTAGGCCACATCTGAGCTAAAGAACTCAGATGCACAGGCTAAACTATCTAACAAAGCATAAACCACAATTGATATCTAAGTACAAATCCAGGCACGCAGGTCATTTCATCAATGCT